TCGTTAGTCTAAATCAATAATCGACTGACTAGTTGAATAATCGTTGAAGTGAATAAGTTTAATGTCCTCCCTCACCTATGTTATATTAAAAATTAAAAGTCTCTGCTCCATTGGATGGTATGCCTACTTCAGTAGCCAAAAGCATTGAGTAGCATTGAATACGTGAGTAAGAATGCCAAAAGGCAATAGGCATGTGTTCATCAGCACAGTTGCAACTGGTCGTGATTCGTACAGCCTTGTTTAGGAAGTATATAGACCGGTTTCTCAGCACGCGCCACTACATTACGACCGGTCGCAGTGGCCTTTGCCACTCGCAAATCATTCGATCAACCAGATATACAATTAGTGACCTTGCATAATTGGCTAGACAGGATTAATTGCGTTTCAATGAGGCCGTGTATCACAATTTACTACTTTACGGGAGCGAACCTATGATTTACTGATTACCTGCGTGGGAAATCAATATTACTGTTTGTATAGTTGTTCTATTTGGAAGAAATGTATTGTGTACACGTATAATCGTACGGTCCCTGTCGAAAGTTATACCTACGGTACTTAATCTGACTGTGACGCTGACTGTACAGAAAGTAGGAGAACTCGTATACTCTCAAACATTTGTACTAGAATAAACTCAAATCAAATCGCTTAAACAACCAAAATGCTCGAGTACAAATGTATGTAAATATTCATAGTTTAATCTATTGTTGTGTAAAACCTACTCTTGCATTTGAGATAAGAAACTTTGCAGTGAGAAGTTAATCAAATGAGCGTTTGTTCACATGAATTTTGATCCATTCCATTTATTTGATTACCGTTGCTAATTGTGATTTTTTTTCTTTCCATAACTTTAGCTCATTTTAAACCTAAATTGTCTTAAGTCTGCATGGAAAAAAATGTGTACGGTTCCAAAATGGAAAAGCAAAATAAATTGGATTCTAATTGGTGTTTAAGGTTTTATAAGGGGTTTTAGTTTATTGCATTTAATCGGAATGATCATGACATTGGTAAACGCCCATTGAAAAATAACTATTTATTACAAAGCAACACATTACTATCCGTAACAATCAGAATACTTATGTAATTTACTCCTTTTTTCTGACATTAGTTCAAAGATTAATTTCTCAATACGATGCACCAGTCACGAGCGTTGACAAACGCAACACATTTCACTGTTTTCCTCAGTTATGTTGTCACAAGCAAGACAAACAAGGCTTACCCAGGGTGACACTTTAGGTCCATTGTTGTTACCCAACTAAACACCTGGTGACGTCACACATTCCTAGGACACATGTGAGGATCATATTTGATACAGTTTTTATGCGCTTCGTTTCGCGGGCTTTCTCTCAACCGTTGACAGCTTCCGAGTCTGGGGACGGAAATTACGCATTAGGAACTGAAAGGACGTTGGGCGCCGTTTTACTTTCACATATAAACTGTTACTGCCGGTGTTAATTAGGTACTATACTCTATGGCTATTATGTGGTTGATGGCTATATTTACAGCCAGGGTTATGGTCATAGCTGCGTCTTGTAGTCTTCTGACGTTTTTGTTCTATTAATACTACAGAGTACATTGGTCAATAAGTCATCAAGGTGATAACAAAAAACAAATTATGTTATAGTCAGGAGGGTAATGTAGACAGTTTATGAGCAAGAGTAAGATTTTACCCTAGACCTAGAAAAGTATAATTTTTCCTCAACCTGATACGTCAAGAGAACATATACCTTACTTTTGTCAATTTTAAATTATTGGATGACTTTTTGAGGAGGAATAACTCTTACACATCGATCTCTGTAGTAATAATAGAGATCGATGCTCTTACACCTATGCATTGATTTTTCACTCAACCCAAAAGGACTTTTTAATCCTCCGTCATTTATTGGTTTTAACATTTTCTGGTACTATAAAAACTAGAATCCTATCGAGAAGCGTTGATTAGAGACATAATTATTTATCAATATATTTTTATCACTTTTCTTATTATACAAAACAATGCCTCACAATTCATTCTTTGCCGCTATAGCTTCATCATGACGGTACATTCCATTTAAATCCCAAGTAGGTTGCAGATCAAAATAACGTGTACGTAAACCTTGGAGAATTTGCCTAATCATCAGGAGTTCTAACTGTTTGAAGTCAACAAACAGTTGTAACCATAGGTTTTTCGACGTTAGGTTACGGTGGGTTTGAAGCTGAATTCAAGGCACTGCCTAGCTTTAAGAAACTATTTATGTAACTACTATTTTACCACATTATTAATGCAGCCAACCCCCGAGGAAGAGCCTTAGTAAAGGAGGAGCATAAGAACCTGACGACAGCATGATTCGTGATAGTAAAGCCACAGCTTAGCCTTGTTGGTTCATTGTGCTCTCTTTTCCACCCCAAATAATTAACAATACGCCAAATATTTGCTTTTTTCGAGGTTCTTTAGCTACTCGAGTGACTTTCTGGAGTCGAGGAACGGATCACTTACAATCACGTCAACAACTGTAGGAGATGGTGGTGTTTTTTTAAAGACATGACAAAAATAAATTCGATTGCTGACTTTCTTTATCAACACCTGGACATTGTAGCTCAGTCCTGGGACGATGCAGAAAAGAGAACACTCTTGCTACATAACACGGCTGAAGAACTTGGCTAGAAAATGAGATATTGTCTCACCAGGCGGAAGCAATTCGCCAGTTTATAGCCAGACTGATGGAGCTGTTAGCTCGAGCCTCGCGTCCATTTAGTGCTGTAACTCTTGTTGGTTTTTGTAACATAACAATGGAAATTGGCTTAGTCATTTGGGCGAGGAAACCACGATATGAAATTTACTGGCTATCCTTTTACATTAAAACATTCTATGAATGTTTTGCTGCATTTTAATTTCGTAATATGGTGGGAGATTTGTTATAATTGATTTGTTGAGTGATTCTCATTTGTGAATTTTGGGCAGGATGCGTATTTTAAGCTTAGTATGAATGGACGGTGAGTGTAGAATGGAGTGAGGTGATCTGTGTAACTTTTTACTGACTAAGATCCGCTGTTTCTTCAGCCAAGAACATCAAGGGATAGCTGGACATAGTTTCTTAACATTAAGGTGCTGTGTATTCGCAGAACATCATATTACTATAGATTAACAAAGACTAAAGGCTGAAGCTGTTTTTTAGACGTTTTAAGAATTGTTTGTGTTATTCAGTGTAAAGTAGTTCAGTGTAAAGTGTAACCTGTTGAATTTGTGCAAAGAACCTGTGCAAGATTTAAGTTTGAATAAAAATGTTCGTAACACATACTCAAACATCTCATGGATAATGGAAAATTATTAAATTGCAATAGTTTAGTTTGAATTCCACTATGTTGCAGATATATAAGGCAGTCATACGAATTGTATAGTTAAGATAAAACATACTTCATGAAAGGGAAAGACCAGAATGGTTATTTGATCTCTTTTATCTTAAGATTGGAAAATATCTTCTCCGCTTGATTCGTAAGAGTGTAACACATGAACAGGAATTTCTATTAATTGAACATATGGTTGCCATCAGTGTTTTAGTGTGGCCTTGCATCAGTCCAAGGTTTCCTACAATAAATAAGTAGATGTGTGATGTTAACGCACACGACAATGTGGTACAAATTGACAACAACGTTACCAGTTTTGTTTATACATGTGGCGTTGTTGTTAAAATCACTTTAAGGTGTGTAAATTGTCCCAGATTGTAATATTAACTGCAGGATTCCTTTACAATTTGAAAATTTACACGGTTAATAAATTAAAGTATTGAAATAATATTGTTTCAATGGGAATAAGTCAAATGGAATTTGTAACAATAATACGATGACGAAGGATGATTAGATGAATGGTGTAGGCTGCAGAGCGGCTTAAATACTACAAAGTTAATTTTAAAGTGAAGTCCAAAAGATCACAGCGAAATAAACTTTACAATGAAGGAGTCAAGTGCCCTGCAGATTGTACTGTACTATACAACATCGAGGCCATAAACGTCGAGTAAACGGCATAGTGTCCATCCTATGTGATAGAACACCCTCTGAATAATTTGATTTTGAGCTTGAATAAAATTGCCCCTAAAAGGGTTTGTATCCATTGCCCTGACCAAGGAATCAGCTAATCACAGTCGAGTCAGTAACAAACAGAAAGGCGTCAAACTATTCTTAATCATGGCACGGATATTAGGGCAGATACGGGGGGCAGTTCAAGGATGAAGGAGGCATGGCATTCCACTGAGAAACTTAAAATAAAAACTTTACCAAGCTCTGTGAAGGTTTAAACTAATTTTAGCTACAATTTCACAATTTTAAATTTTTAACAGTTTTTTTTTATTCTGGTTCGACAACCAACAGTCATATTTTAAAGTGTTTTACATTAGGATAATTGTAGGTTGGGCTTTTTCAGACCCCTGAAAGAAGATACTGGTTTGCCTGCCTTCAAGAAGTTTCCTCCGAACGCTGACAATATGGGTTCAAATATAAATGATCAATTATAAATTATTTAAGATAGGGACGCCACTAAGTGCGTATTTTAACACCAATAGTAGTAAAGGATGAGTGGCGCGATCTTGTGGTCTTGTTAGTGACTAAGCCCGACATATTCCTTAGACACAGCTGTGCCCAAACAGCTAATGGCAACTGTGACCTACAGTTTATAGTGGAATCCGAACCAAATTCTTGCCTTGGTATTAACGAATTGGTCTAATTATCAGGAAAGCACTGCGCATAATAGTAGTAGTACTCACTACTGCGGACGTTAATCCACACCAGGGTACACTTCTAGTGATTTATTGCAGAAACTTCATCTTTTCCTCCTTACTTTCCATCTCTCTTAATCTTTCCCATAACTGACGTGGCTCAGTGGCTCAGGATATTCCGATGGTCCAAATATGCACTTTATCGCCTTACAGTTGTGAAAGGAAGTTCTTCCTGAGTTTTTCCGCGGGAGCCGAGTGGGGACAGCTTTATATGGTCACTCCCGCCACGGCGCGACTAGTCGTGTTGAACAGCTGATCTAGCTGTCATGGCGCCCTGCACCTGTCTGCCGGTACGGTCTAGTGTTATCAGTGTTTGTTATCAGTGGGATATCTAGCTGCTGTCTGTGATAAGTATACTTTACTGATAAGATGGTGAAGGTGAAGAGTGCGTGGATTGTTTAGCGAATTTGGATTTGTTGTTTCTACCCCATTGGGGTTTTAAGGGGACGGTCCAACCCCCAGTCTTGTACCCAAGGTTGACCTTTTGTGCGATAGGAAAATTGGTAGCCCAACGACAAACGACATCTAAGTCAAAAAACTATTTAGTTCGAACCTTACCAACGACCTTCACAAAGGTAGCGCTCTCCCTTTGAAGGAGAGCAATATAACCTATCCAGAATTTTATTTCATTTGCATAAGTAATATTACTTTAAGGTTTATGAATTTGGAAAGTGCTACAAATATTTCGTTGCTCTCAATCTTAAGAAGAAAAAGGGTGAAATTTTATCTTCATTTCTTAAACGAACTAGGAGTAAAGTTCGCGGCTTTTTTATTTTTAAGAATATTGAAACTATTCTTGTTTAATAAGTTAAATGATTTTATCAATGTTATTTTCTATCATAACTATTTTTGTGCAGTTCCTAAAAGAGACCTTTGTCTATTTTTTTAAAGAACGTTCTAATACTATCACTAGGTATCTAAACACGTCCTGCTGTTGTCTGCGATAAGAATACAGTACTTTGAAACAATTGATAAATGAATGGTTGCGTTTTGCGAATTTTAAATGTTCATTGTTTCGCAAATGTGTGGTTTAGTGGTGATAAACGTACAATATTTACGGTATACGATACTTTCGTTCGTATTAAATTAACTTTATTGAATGCAAATTAAAAGACCTTTTGAGTTATGTATCAACTGTTCGTAAATCCAATTTAGTTTAAACAATGCTCAGCAACATAGCAATCATTATCGGACCATTGTAATGACGCTTACTCTAGTTTGTAGGAGGGAAATATATGTCGCTATTTGGCCATGGCAAAAATGAAGGCAAAACCTGTGCATAAGACGAAATTAAAACACATTTCGGAGAACAAACAATAAATGAACGATAAGATGTAATTTATCAACTCAATGTAATAATTAACATATAGTATACAATACAATAATATACAACTAGCAGCCTGCGTCACTTCTTGACTTCAAAATCCGTGATATATTTGACGTGATATATAACTTATAGGTAGTTGATAAGGGCGAAAACAGTTATTTATTTCTCATCATATCTCTTTTATTTTAATTGCGTGCGCGATATCTTCGAGGCATCTTAGAACATAAAAAATACTAATTAAACATACAATGAAAACACAAAATCTAACGTAAATAATTTTCTTCTTAAAATTGTATACAAATAACATTACAACATTTTACTTGAATTCACTCGAACATCTCCAACTACAGATAATAACCCCATTTTCGTATTCATGTAAACAAAACTGTATATGGATATCTGTTTTGATTTAAACAAATGTGAACTTGAAAAGGTTGCGATGATCGAAAAAAAGAATTCATCACAAACTCCGAAATTTTAAGCCTGTAGGATGGAGGGCTTTCACGGTATATAATCAAAACTCGTAAAAAGCACATCTAGAGGATAAGAGCTTTTAACTGATACCAAATATGCCTATACAATTAAATATTTAGAGTTCAATTTGCTGCACACAAAAATCCAACAAATTCTTTTATTTATTTATCTTTTATTACAGTTATACATTAGGTATTTTAAACTAAAGACTTTGAATCAAACTCTATATCTGTACAATGATTAATGCCGTTACAACCATAAATAGTTTGTAGCATATTTAAAATTTATCTACTTTAGATAAACACGAAATGCTATACCCGTGCTTTGCAACGGGAAGAAAATGTTACCTAGACAGCTATTGCGGTGTATAAGTGGGGCTGATGTTTAGGTGGTGTTTAAAAATACAGCAACTCTATGATTAAATTTGAAAAGATAAACTGATTTAAAAGTGTTAACTCTACTTACATTCAAAAATAATGTTTATTTCAATAGATTCAAAAAATATGACAACATACCTTAGTGTAGCAATAACATCAATTACTTGATATTGATGCTTCATGAATGAGATGTTTTAACCATAATTATTCAAATGTAGTCAAGCCTATTTACACGTAGCTTGCAATATAAATTAGAAATGAAACTGTGAGCAAAACTCTATAAAACTTATACAACCTTTCTTTAACATAACCCTCTCGCACATATTTCCTCAATCTAAATAAAGCATCACAAGCATCAAGGAAGTGTCCTCGGGCCGTTTTTGTATATTCTCTACACAGCAGATCTCCCAGAAAATGAGTTGGTAGAAATTGCTACATTTGCGGATGGTACTGCGGTTTTGTCTGTTCATCGTGATCCATTTCAAGCTTCTCTAAATTTACAGCAAAATCTGAACATAATTACTGATTGGTTTAAGACATGGAGGTTCAAAATTAATGAAACTAAATCTGTCCACATTACTTTTACTCTAAATCAAAATTCTTGTCCTCCTGTCACAATAAACAACACCCAACTTCCCGAAGTAACTGAGGTTAAATACTTAGGTATCCATTTAGATAGGAAGTTAACTTGGAAAACACACATTTGGAGAAAACGGCAACAACTAAATTTAAAATCTAATCAGTTAAATTGGCTCATCGGAAGAAAATCAAAACTTAGTCTAGAAAATAAATTATTGCTATATAAAACTATACTGAAACCAATCTGGACATATGGAGTGCAACTATGGGGCTCAGCGAGTACTTCTAATATAGAAATTCTCGAAAGATACCAATCGACAATGCTGAGGAAGATAACAAATGCACCATGGTATGTCAGCAATAGGACACTACATCAAGACCTTAAGATGCCTACAGTTAAGGACGAAATCATGACCATAAGTGAACGATATATTACGAAATTGGAATCTCATCAAAATCATTTAGCTCTTAACTTATTAAACAACGTGGATACAATTTACAGACTTAAGAGGCCATCAATTCTCGACCTGCCCTACAGATTTTTGTAAAGTGTTTTTTTTTTTTTTTTTAATTTGTTGTTGAGAGTGCTTAACAGCTATTTTTAATGTTCCAAAGTCAATTTTTCGTATTACATAGTATTTACTTATTGTTCAATATATAATAGAACAGATTGTAAAGTAAATAAATAAAAAAAGCAACTTTTTCGAGTAAATAAACAAACACCAGTTAATTGCATTGATCAGATGTTTCATTAAACATAAGTTAAATCATTTAAACTTTGGAAGCATGCTAGACGTAGCCCTTTGGGAACGGCCTCAGAGCCCCTAAGAAATTTGTCCATAGTCCATTCCAATAATTTTCGGCAAATCTACACACTCGAACTTAAACCAACCTTTACCAACCTTTATTAGTCAATTCATAAGATTTAGGAGATCAGCCACCATGAAATGGTGGTAATTTAATTTGGTAAATTGAAATTGGCATTTAATTGGTATCCAAATTAATTACCAAACATAGTCACATTAATGCTAATTGAATTCATGAATAGTTTATTTAATTGACGGATAGGTAGTTAGTTGACGGATAGGTGATTTAATTGACAAATAGGGGATTTAATTGACAAATAGGTGATTTAATTGACAAATAGGGGATTTAATTGACAAATAGGTGATTTAATTGACAAATAGGTGATTTAATTTACGAATAGGTGATGTTATTGACCAATAGGCGGTTAATTGACGAATAGGAGATTCAATTTACGAATAGGTGATTTAATTGATGAATAGGTGATTAATTGACGAATGTGTGATTTAATTGACGAATAGGTGATTTAATTGACGAATAGGTAATTTAATTGATGAATAGATGATTAATTAACGGATATGTGATTTAATTGATGAATAGGTTAATTAATTGACGAATAGCTGATTTAATTGACGAATAGGTGATTTAATTGAATAGTAGGTGATTTAATTGAATAATAGGTGATTTAATTGACGAATAGCTGATGATTCAATTTTAATTTCTGTCAGAGTAGAAGGGAAATTTTAAATTAAAACCCATACAAAGTGTGAGCCGTCCAATTTACATGTCACACAAAAGCATTCAATCCTCGAAAATTAGTACTTTAACTACCCTACCCATAAATGTTGCTTACCTTAGTCAAAACTAATCGTAACACAATCAGGTTACTATATTCTTGCTAATTGATCAGCCGAAGATGGTATTTAAACAACCCCTCAGTAGAAATTATCCATTACATTTTCCATTGTTAAACACATGATATAAGGAGTTACCTACATAGCTGGATGTTGCAGTGACTGTTTAGTTAATGGATTGTTTACAGTAGGGATTTACTCTTTAGGTTTTTTGCCAATGTTTGCTCTTTGGAAAAAGATTTGGTTGACATTTCAAACTTATTCCCTAATGAAACCTAATCAATAGGTATTTTCATAAATTAATATAAAAATCTATTACAATAGAAAATCTACTACTGAACTATAGTGATTTTCCTTTTTTAACTAGTTTTTTTCACATTCAGTTCACATAATTTGCAATTAAACTTTTTTGCATGCTGACGATAACTAAGACAAGAGTCTTTTTTGTAATTCGTCGGTAAAGATAGATAGATGGTTAGATCATCTTCTCCTTCAAAAGGTGGAATACTGGATGTAAATGTAGAATATGTACTGAGGCTCTCTCAGCAAGAACACTTTGTGGACCAGGCAGAGGTGAGCTTTATGCATATGCCATCCATTGGGACGAGCTTTGCAGCATGTCGGAAAAAGGGCACGTGGTCAAGGCTATTAAGGCCTCCTTAGAAACTCTTCTCATATCGTCCTTAGAGATGCTGTTTCCATATGCTGTAAAGGTTGGGAGGCCCAAGGACCGTATGAGTTGAATTTTTGCACATTCACGCGTCGTAGTAGAGTTTTAAATCTGGCAAGACCTCTCAGTCTACTCACTGCGCGTTAAACTACATATGTGACATGGTGATTGTTTTGTAAAGCACATCACCAATTGTGTTGATAGT